TTTTGCAACGCAATTAGATTTTCAAATTTGTTATTTATTTATAAATTGAATAAATTATTTTTACTTACATTTATTTAACTTTAAAAATCTTAACCACCTCCAAGTGGCCTCGAACCTGCGATTTCAGAACCAGAACCAGTAGTCTTCACTTGACGCCACAGCCGACATTTGTAAGAAAAGCAATTACTTGCGTTTTATTTTTGGCTTTGGCAATTCAAAGGCAGATGTCGCTGATCGCCTAAGTTCTTCGAAATTGTCGAACTGGTAGGCAAATACTAGTTAATGAACTAGTATTTTTTCTAACTGGTTTGGCTTTTCACTGCAGGGACGCAACAACGCGTTCAGAAGGTGCAATCGCACCAGTTACTGAGCTGTTGCGCCTTCTGAACGTGCCCAATGAAATTCGTTTCTCTTGAAATCAAGTTATATGGCTGCGTATGTATGTACATATGTACATATTCCGAAATTTATTTTATTTGCAAAGGCTCTCAAGAAAAATAGAATAAAAAATCATATAAAATTACGCACAATAAATGGAAAATAAGTTTGCTTCTATAAAAAATTTCTTAAATCAGTATGCAGCTCTTAAGAAATAAATGCTCGTACATCTCGTCGCTACCATGTCCAATTATCGAATGTAAAAATCGGCACTTTTCAAAATTTTGATTTGCCACTAATAATTTTATTTCGTACTAGCCAATGCCCGCTTACTTCGTGGCGCCTAATAAGAGCTTTTGCGTTGGCCAATGCAAAAGAGTTTTTAAAAACAAAATTTGTCTGTAAAATCAAAATTTTTGATTTAAGTTGAAACCACTAAGGTGCAGTATCCTCCTCACACATAGGCGAATAATAGTAACGCTGTGATTCCATATGGAATACCAACCCTTTTGGTGTCATGAGCTTTACTGATGGTCTTATTTCCACCTGTGAGATCTCTGCCAATCATGCGTCATCTTTTTGTATATCTTGCAACTACAACATTGGTGCGATGCGTATGCCAATAAAAGTTCTTATAGGGAAACTCAAGAGCACAGAAGTGGGTTTTCTTTATAGGAGGGCCAAGAATCCTCGCTGTCCCACAGGATGAAAAGTTTTCCGTTACATTGCTAAATGAGTCGTGTGATCTCTTAGGTATCTTTCAAATGAAGCAACTGATATACCTACGGTAATCTTTCCTTGTTAATTCACCACTTTTACAATTCGTGGTAAAATTTATGAACTGATTTCTGTGTAGATGCAAGACCGCATGATCGTGCATGAGGGCGTCAGAAAAACTTAACCCCATCCTTCATTTAGACATCTGAAAACTAAATTCGTATAACTTAAAAATAGGGCCAAAGCGGACCAACCACACAGGGTTTCTATATATTTCGGCTGCAGCGCCATCCATTGGGTTCGTTTTCTGCAAAACCATTGCTTATCATTAAATGAATACGTGTTATGAATTTCAACCTTAGCTCCAGCGGCACTAATCGGGTAAATTTTTATCAAAAGAATTTTCCATCATACAGGTACATAGCTCGCATTTAAAATTTGAACGAAATCGGTTAATAAATAAGATTTTTATAAATAACTCTACTCCAGCACCACCTAGCGAGGTTTCTAGTAGCATATAATTGGACCATCTGACAATCTGACGGAACTCTATTCAGGGGTTTTGAGTTTATTCCGAACAACGATAACGGCTATCATTTTATGCAAATAGGTATGTAGATAGGACAGTTTATAGCGAAACTCGTAAAAGCAAAGCTCCACTCTTTAAATTCAAAAATTCTTCAAAATTTTCACACAAATTTTACCTTACTGAAAATTAAAGACAAAGTTACAATAGCTCAATGGGATTAAGAAATCTAGGAGAAAATGGTTCCCAATCGAATGATACTTGCGCGTTTACGTAAATGTATATCGATCCAGCCTATCCAATAATTACCACTTTTCGCCATAAGTACGGTATTGATAACATATGTAGCTGTGTCGAATTTCAGGACGTTATCGTAAGCAGTTCCAGAGATAAGCTATATGAGAAGTTCAGTTTGTATGGAAGGAAGGAGCCACGCCACCTTTCCCAATGCATTTGCAATACATTGGTTTTAGAGATATATTGGTTTTTTCGTTTTAGTCTGTATAAGAATTTTAGGAATATCCCGAGCTACATACCGGGTAAATTTTTGGTCAGAATATTTATTTTGAAGGTGTTGCCAATGTACCAAGTCGGTGAGGCCGTTTAGTAGTTTAGTGAAATACATTGTAAAAAGAACTGTATGAAATTGTAAAACGTGACGTCTCAGATTTCTTAATTTTTTGGCAGTAACAACGAAAAGATTTAAATTTTTTTTAGCGAAAAACCTTCCACACAGAAAAAAAATTAAGTTTGTGGTTACATCAAGGCGAAATTTTGAGAAGTGTCCGTTGCTAACTCTAAATATAAACAACGACGTACGGGAAAAAGTTAATACGTTCAAATACCTAGGAGTAATGATCGACGATAAACTAAAACAAAAAAAAAAATGGATTCTATATTTTCAATTGGAGCTCTAGCTATATGTGCATCGGTGAAAACTGCATTTAATTCCATACATTAGCTTTTGCGTAATAGGCTTACAAACATACAGACAAACATACCAAAATTTTATATTTGGCTTCTGTTGATCTAATAAACCCCCTATTAATTGTTCTTTAACATCTATTATGTACAGATATCGGCCTGTTGCAATTTTATTATTCCCAAATACTCTCGTTTGATACCCAAATGGCAACACTTAGTTTATATTATAAATTTAACTGAATTAAAATTTTCAAACCCGCTTCAAGAATATTTTCAAAAGTAAGCTTCCTAATCCTCTTTAGTTTAATATTCGTATTGCAATATTTCATTTATTTTACAAATTTTAATGAATACAATTTTTCAATCAGGTGGCAAATCCCCTAAAAATATTTTCAGCATTAAAATTTCCTAGCCTCCTTAGTTTGATGCCAATATTGCAGTATTTAATTTATGCTATCAATTAAATCAAATTAAAGTTTTCAAATAGGTGGCAACCTTCCACAAAAATATTTTCAGCTGTAATCCTTTGTAAATTTCTTTCTTTTGACAGCCATATCGCAGTATTCACTTTACCGTATCAATACTCCGCTACATTGGTGAAAACTGCATTCAATTCCATTTCTACTGATGCGCGTACAAATATACAGACAGACAGTGATTCAAAAATTCAAAATATTGTTTATTTGGCTTGTGTAGCTTTAACAAAAACGCACCAAATTAATTTCTCTTTCATATGTATAAGGTACAGACATCGACCTGTTACAATTTTATTATATGTTTAGATGTAGATATAGATTTCATTTATTTTATCAATTTAATACAATAAAATTTTTCAAACAGGTGGCAGCCCTCCGTAAAAATATTTTCGGCAATATAATTTCCTAAACCCTTTCAGTTTGATACCCACATTGCAATATTCAATTTATCCTATAAATTAAATTAAATGTACATCTTCAAACAGGTGGCAACTCTAAAAAAATATTTTTGACTGTAAGCCTTCTTCAGCCTTTCTTTTGACGCCCATATTGCAATATTCATTTTTTCTTATCAATTTACTTAAACTCCAATTTTCAAACAGGTGGCAACTCTCTATTTTTTTTCTTCCTATATTTTAAGTTAGACCTCTAGCAATACATCGGTGAAAACTGGATTCAAATCCATGCATTCGTTTTCGAGTGATGCGCGAACAAACATACAGACAGACAGACAGACAGACAGACAAAAATTCTAAAAATGGTTGATTTGGCCTCTGGTGCTCTTATAAAGACCCCCCAAATTAATTTTTCTTTAATATCTATAATGTACAGACATCGACCTGTTACAATTTTATTATATGTATAGATAGCAGCATTACTTAAGTTGTTGTTTTTGACAACTTATTTGTTGGTTAATGACTGCAAATAGTTTTATAGAAAATTAGAAACGAGAAATAATACTTTCATAAAAATTTAAGTACATACATAAATTTAAAAAGTTCCTGTCACATTAAACAACTGTCTAAATCTACGTTATTTTTTATAAACAAGGCCGTAAACATTTCCTTACATCGTCAATTTCCATATTCTATTTTTACTCTTTCAATTTCGGTGACCAGAGCAGCAAACGATATCAACTAGTAGCGCTAACAACCAAAAATGCAATTTAAAACGCAAGTACTTACAGTATTGCAAGTATACAGAGAGTATATTTGCTACTCCCTTTTGGCAGCAGCAAATATCTCTCGTACGCGATGAGAGAAAGTAGAGTACCTACTTTGGTGGACTAATAGCAAGTACGCCAAGTATTTACTCTCTCAGCGCCAAGTAGTGTAAGTATGAGGAAAAAGAGTAACAATGTGTTGGACTTTAGTACATACATATGCCCATCAGTCAAGAATGATAGAATACAAGATTGCGCCAATCGAGCTGAGAGCAACTGGCCGTGACGTCAATAAATACCAGAATTAGAGAGGAAGACGAACTCGACAAGAAAAATAGGAAGCATCGGACAAAAGGCAGTATTGCCAAGTTTTGAATTTGAAAAAGCACCAAATTTTTATTGGCGTATTTTATAGACTTTATATGCATACATAATTTTATTGTAAGGATGCCGATTCAAATTAATAAAACTCAATGTTTCTTGCACGACGGTTGATTTCTTCTGGCATGATTGAAGGTGCTGCCACATATTTTGTTGTCGCTTATGATTGTCAATGGGCCATGATTTTGTTTAAATTTTTGTAAAGTTGCTTACCACACTTACGACTGCTATAAATTTTGCTTCCATTTTTAAAGATTTTCTAATTTGGTGTCTTGAAACTAAAAACAAAAGCACCAAAAACGCGCCAAGCACCA